ATCATTCTGTTGAGCATTTCTTTCTCTTACCTTCTTTCTTCCTTCCTTTTTTTGGGGGGGGCAGGGAAGAGGTTCATTTTTTAGCACACAAGATCTTTTTTTTCTTTTAATGGCTTGGTTTTCCTTGTTTCTGCCTTGGGTGTGGCTTTCTCCCCTCCTCCCCCAAAGTATCACTAAGTTCCCTGTGCCTAGACTTCTTCCTGCTGAGTTCGGGCCAGGCTCCTCCAAGGCCTCACCTCCTCGCCTCTTAGCCTTGCCACAGAACACAGCTTCACCTCCCTGAACTGCAGCACAGTGTCAACCCTACACTACCTTGAACCTCAGATTATCTTTCATCCTGCGCAGTCATGTCTTTCCAACTAAAGTGGAAGCAGGGTCCATGTTTCATTCTCAGTTCTTGGATCCACAGCTTCCCTCCAGGTGCCCTAAAATCCCATAAGCCCCACAGTGCCCCATAAGCCTTAACTCAGCCTGCTGAGGATCAAGCTCATCGTGCCTGTCTGTAGACTCTCCTTAGGGAATGTCCTTTAGGATGGACATTCTTTTTTTTTTTTCTTTTCCTCTTTTTTTTTAAATTTTTTATTATTATGTTAATCACCATACATTACATCATTAGTTTTTGATGTAGTGTTCCATGATTCATTGTTTGTGCATAACACCCAGGGCTCCACGCAGAATGTGCCCTCTTTAATACCCATCACCAGGCTAACCCATCCCCCCACCCCCCTCCCCTCTAGAACCCTCAGTTTGTTTTTCAGAGTCCATCGTCTCTCATGGTTCGTCTCCCCCTCTGACTTACTCCCCTTCATTCTTCCCCTCCTGCTATCTTCTTCTTCTTTTTCTTTTTTCTTAACATATGTTGCATTATTTGTTTCAGAAGTACAGATCTGTGATTCAACAGTCTTGCACAATTCACAGCGCTCACCATAGCACATACCCTACCCAGTGTCTATCACCCAGCCGCCCCCTCCCCCCCGCCCCCCCCCACTCCAGCAACGCTCAGTTTGTTTCCTGAGATTAAGAATTCCTCATATCAGTGAGGTCATATGATACATGTCTTTCTCTGATTGACTTACTTCACTCAGCATAACACCCTCCAGTTCTATCCACGACGTTGCAAATGGCAAGATCTCATTCCTTTTGATGGCTGCATAATATTCCATTGTGTATATATACCACATCTTCTTTATCCCTTCATCTGTCGATGGACATGCCTATGTCCATATGACCTATGTACATTCTTAACCAGAGGTCCTTCGATAGGTTTCAGGGGGCTTCCCATAAACCCTCCAAAACTGGGCAAAATCTTCTGTGCATGTGCAGTTTTGCTTTATGATGAGAGTTAACAGCTTTCATCAAAGTCTCAAAGGCCTGTGACCTAAAAAACATGATGAACTCCTGCCCTGAGGTGCTCTGGCGCACAGTACAGAAATGAAGGAAAGAACTCAGTTGCCTCATCTGTAAAATGGGAATAGAGATGCGTGCCTACATGTGAGGGGTGCCCAGGAAATGGCAATTATTAGTATTCCTGACCTAGTCCCAGAAATTCCTCACAGGAAGGAAGCCCCCACCATAATGCCTTAGGTCAGAGGTTCCCAAACTTGGGTAATCATCAGAATCACCTGGGGTGCTTTAAAAATACAGGTTCCTGCCCTCCATTCCAAGCCGAAGGAAAGAATCTCCAGGAGAGAACCCAGAGATCTACATCTCTATCAAGCCTCCTCCCTGATAATTCTGATGGTCAACAAGGTCTGGGAGTCATCTCTCCCTTGCTCCCTGGACTTGCACCCTACCTTCCACCGGGCTTCCTCACCCCTGCCTTTGCTCGTTCTGAGAGGGACACGTGTTTAAGGAAACGGTCAGAGCCTCTGCGAGAACAGCAGGCTGCAAAAGTCTTTCAGAACAAAGAATTAAGTATCTTTATAATTATATCCAGGCCTATATTTAGGCCATGGCTCACATGGCCTCTTGAACTTCAAATAAATACCTATTTTGTTCCTTGTTTAAACAGGTGTAGCAATATCGGGGGATACTAGATTTATCCAGGCAGGAAGGCAGCTCCCACAGCTGTCAGAAAGCACACTGCCCTTTCATTCCTCACAAGAGGAAAAGCTCATTATACTGTCATAGAGCAAAATAAATGTACAATTTCTACCCCTGAGCTCACTGACCCACTCAGGGCAAATTTTTTTCTGGGCTGTTTTCTGGCAGGACTCAGGGCCAGCTGGCTTGGCCCATGCTCAGATGTTTTAGAAGCCACTGTAGTGGGCGATTCTGGGTTGGTGAGGCCTCCTGTCCCCAGAATGCCTACACTCTCACTCGAACACACACCCACACACGCTCAGTCACACACTCCCATCCACACGCACGCACATACTCTCATATACTTGCACGCATTCCCATAAACTAATGGGCAAATTTCTCACACACACTCATGTCACAGTCACACAAACTTCCACACATGCGCACGTGTGCACACACACTTTTGCACACACACACACACACACACGCACCCCTCCTCTCATGCCAGAATGCACCACCCAACAATGATACTTTGTTCCCGTGGACTTCTGACTTCCAGTTCCCTGTCAAAATCCCTGAGACTTTCCTGTTTGGGGGACTTAAAGTCTCATGTCTGGGAACACCCCTCTCCCCTAAAGTCCTGGGCAAATGGAGATGGCTGGTCACCCTAAAAAGCATCTGCTCAGGCAGAGACCCAATATGCTTTCCCAGCCATGCAGTGTCCTGTGAATGAGGGTCTACCTGCTCTCCTGACAGGCGCACTGGGGCCCTGACAGCTCCCATGGTTACTGGCTTGGCAGAGCTGACACACCCAGACAGTCCTCCCAGTGACAGCAGGCTCAGGTAAGGGATATAATCCAACTGAGTAGGGATCCTACGGTGGTCCTGACTGTACATCAGAGTCGGCCTGTACCTTGATGCCCAGGCCCCACCATACACAGTACGGTTTAATTGCCTGGGGTGGGACCTGGCATTGACAGGTTTCTCTAGCTTCTGAGCTCATTTGAATGCAGTCAGGACCGAGAGTCACTAAATCCAGGCAAAGTGTCCATCAGCCAGCTCACTCCCTGGAGCCTTCCTTACCCCTGGCGAGTACGTGTGGGGCTTACAAAGCTGGTGACACGGCCGAGGTCATGTCCAGAGAGAGGATTACTAAATCTCCCCACTTTTGGACTTTGAAATGGACATGTTATCCTGTAACTGATAGACCCAAGTCCAGTTTGCACATAAAGAATGTCCGATTATGCCACTCACTGGAGGTTCAACCCAAACTTTATTTGCAACCTAAAGGAGCTTTCCAAGCAGCAGTTTTGACTGTGGCTTGCCACCTACAATGGCAGAAAAAGGCAATTCTTTGGCTGTATGAGAGGGAGCATTCCTGTAGATGGAACAGCCTGGGGATGAAGAACAGTGGCTTGGAGGGGCAGCAAATGGATTGGAGGAAATAGCAAGGACTTTGGAATTCACTGGAGGAGAAGGTGTACCCTTTCTCTCACCTGTCAGCACTGGTGTGTGAACTACGCTGAGCCTCAGTTTTACCAGGTGCATAACAACACCTACCACAAAAAGTTCTTGCTACTTTATCAGTGACTAAGCGCAGGACCTGGCTTAGCGTTGGCGGTAAGTTAATGACAGATGACAGCTCTTGAAACAAATGAATGGGGATGTTGTCTTATTCTTCGTGTTGTACCAGTGTTCCCATCAAATCCAAAAGAGGGGATTCTACTTGCAAGTCACAGAAACAATTAGTTAGCGGAGACTATTGATTTCCTGTTGTCCTTGTAACAAATGACCATGAACTTAGTGACTTAAAATAATGCAAATGTATTATCTTACGGTTCTGGAAGTCAGAAGTCTGAAATGGGGTTCACTGGACTAAAATCAACATGTGGGCGGGCTACATTTCTTCTGGAGGCTCTGGAGGAGGATCCATTCCCTTTCCTTTTCTATCTTCTAGAGGCTTCCAGCACTCTTTTGGCCTCTTTCTCCATCTTCAAAGCCAGCATCTTCAAATCCTTCTCTGATTCTGACGCTCCTGCCTCCCCCTTTCACTTACAAAGACACTTATGATCTCACTGGGCCCACCCAGGGCCATCTCCCCATCTCAAGATCATTAACTTAATCTCATCTGCAAAGTCCCTTTTGCCATGTAAAGCAACACATTCACAGGTTCTGTGTGGATGAAGAAGTAACTTTTGGATGGCCACCCTTGGCCTGCTACACAGGGACAGCTTTGTCACTTTTAAGCTTTTTACCTTCCAAAAGTTTCCTCCAGTCTTTGACACCTGCTCCCACTTAGCTGCTAGCAAATGCTGACAGACAGCTAAAAACATCATTGAACAAATTAGCATCACCAGAACATTCAGAAACTGCCAGTCAGGAACTTCAATCGTTTCCTTTGTGTGTGTATGTGCATCTGTTTATTGATGGTTGTGATTTCATGGTACATGCCAGAGCACAGGCATAGTTTTTGCTTGTAAAATTGTTTCTAGCACATTTGAGGGGACTAATCAGGAACATGGTGCCCTGCAGAGATGACCTTGACAAGTCTGAGGACCTCTGACCTCTGACAAGTTTGAGGACCATCCCCCCCCCCAAGGCTGCCAGGTTTAGAACTTTACAAGACCACTCTTCCCCTGAAAGGGGGACCATTGGCAACTCCTCCTGTGCGGGTTTTTGTATTTCTGCTGGAGGAAGGAAAGGCCTGAATATGCAGCAAGCTCTTATGTTCTTCAGTTGAGTCGAGAACTTAAATCTGGAGTTTGGACAGGAAACTGGAACTCAGTGGGAGGTCTGTGAGGGTGGAGGATGGGGGTGCTTCCAGGCTTTCAAAACACAAAACAGGTGGTTTTCAGCGGTGCTGGCGGGCTGGGGAGAGGCGGGGAGGGGAGGGGTGAATACAAAGTAGGCAGGATTCTGGATGGGTGGGGCTGGGGCCTGCTGCCAGGGCTGGCTGCCTGAGAGTAGAGGGTGACAGGTGAGGGCCCAAAGTTCCCTGCATGCCGCTCTGGAAAATCCTGGGACTGCCAAGAGGCTTAGGGAGGAACCTTGACTCCGGACTGGGAAACGCTCAAAAGTGGGAGTCCAGCCAAGCTGAGGCCCCTGAAGAAGACCAGGGAGCAGAGTGGCATGAACTCCTTCCTCTGATGAATCAGCAGTGATGTGGGCGACAAGGAATCTGAAGCCATGACCCCAGCCAGAGGCAGCATCAGCCAAGTCTGACAGGCTTTAATTATTTTAGGGTAAGAAATCTGTGCTTTGTAAACTTGCCAGATGTCTATGCTTTCGTATATTTTGATTTCTTGTTTTACTTTTTATTGTTGTTGATGATGTTGTTTTGGTAAAACTCTAAATAAGAAGAGGGTTACAGAGTCCTTGCCCTTTCCTGGGAAGGCCAACAGGAGATTCAAGGAATCCTTGCGCAGCTGAGGCCCCTGGTGAGGTGAATCATAGGAATGTGACCAATCTCAACTCCAGCAGTGGCTGCCCTGCTCGTGAATATCCTGGGAAGTCTTTAATTACCTCTTGAACACATTGTGTGAATGACAGAAATGGTGATTTTAGTGGCACGTTAAGCATGTGGACAATAAGCACGGGCCCTGAAACGCACAACTTAGCCATGTCCCATCCTGATCACCAGGTTGGATGACAATGCTTTTTTAAGTAGATTGGCAGATCATGCAAAATGCCGCCTGGCTCCCCAAAGGGCCTTAGCTGCCCATTTTCTCTTTACCCTCTCTAGCCCTTATACAAACAAAAAAACAAATAGAAGTCTACAGTCTTTGCAACAGACCTGCCTGACATCAATTAACACTAACCTCTGGCAAGTGGCAATCCTCACAGAAGCTCCAAGATGTTTTCAACACAAGGATTTTAATGTGCTCTCTAAAGTCTGAGTAAAGTATGAGTATTCTAATGGCCATTTTCCTGACAAGGCGACCGGGCTCAAGATACTAAATGGTGACACTAGTTGAGTGATCCTGTGAGAAAGGGATAAATCTGTGCACAAAATAAGGTCCAAGGGCCCCAATTCCCTGCATGTTCCATCAGACATTTGAAATCTCTCAGTCAAGCATGTAGCAAATGGGTGTCCCAGGACCGGCAACTGACTGATAGGTCCCAGAGCAATCATTCCAAGCTATTGTCCAGAGAACATCTCCACTGTTCACACATGAGGGGGGCAGGGGGAGTGGCGGCAGAGAGAAGGGGTGAGTAATTTATTCAGGAGCTGGAAGCTGAGAAACAGATTTGGTAAGCAAATACTTCAAAGCTCACTAGAGAACTCCCATAAAACACAGACTCTCTGCAGCAACCAGGGAGTGATTTAAATCCACTTGGAATTTCTAGGAGGAAAGAGGAAGGCTTATCAACTCTGTGCAGAGCCTCATGAATAATTTCACCTGACACAGGACACTGAACCAGCAGAAATCTGGGATGTACAAAGAAAAGAGGTCTCCCACTAATCTTTGTTACTCAAGTCTTTATTCCTAAGTGAGGAACCAGGGTGGGTAAGGGAAGCCTAGACAGGAAGTTCACATTTTTAGCCACATTATTTTTTTGCCTTTGTGCAACAAATGCTGGATAGGAAACACATTTTCTGGCAGCCATCACCTCACTGGCTGCGTGGGCTGAGAAAAAGGCCGCGCACCCTCGGACTGCCAGGATGTGGCCATCACTCGTGAGTCCCTCTAGGCTAGCAGACAGTGAAAGGGGGACTTCGAATGAAGTAAACCCCTAAGCCGGATCTGCAGAGGTGGTGGCCACAAGTTACTCCTGTTGACTTAAACCCCAGGCTGCGATACCCTCTCACCCCACCTCCTCTGTCCACACTGCAGACCCACTGCCCCCACCCCTCACCGGCTCATCAAGTTACTGTGAGGAAGCGGCCAGCCCTGGCCTTGTGAAAGGGTGTGTCCCCGCGCGTCCTCCCCATTCTGGGATGGGCCGGGAGGGGCGGCGGTGCGGAGTTGCCTGAACCCTCTCGAATATCCCAGGGGGGGTCCCTGTCCGCAGGAATCACCTCTGCCCCCTTCCTCCCCCCCCCTCCCCCAGAGCGCAGCCCTTCCCGCCCGCCCAAGCACAGCGCATCCGCGCGCGACCCGGGGGCCCACTGTCGAGGCGGCCGCGCAGGCGGCCCTGGCTGCCAGGACCGAGGAGAGGTCGTGCTGCTTTCCCCCCGATGGCCGCAGGGGGGCAGGAAAGAAGGACTAAGGACAGGGGCCCGCCCGCCGAGGAGCCAGCGGCGCGCGAGTGAGGTCGAGGGGAGCCGGGGGGAGGAGGGGGGGCGTAGGCGGCGGGGACCCCGGCGGGCGGAGGGCGCGGGAATCTCCGCTCGGAAAGAGCTCGGCCCAGACACCCGCCGCCAGCCGCCCCCACACCCGGCCCTCACCCCCCGGAGCCCTGGGGGCGCCGCACCCTCCCGCCGCTGCCCGCGCCGCGCGAGGAACGCTCGAGAGCCAGATGGCTGTGCCGGCCGAGGGGCCCCGCAACCCCCGAGAGCCGGGGGGCAATCACCGCAGCCTCCGAGGGAAGGGCCCTGCGTCCCTTCTTGCCCAAGGTCCACATCCGCCCTCCCAGCCTCTGGCGTCTGGGCATTACCCTCGGTTTGCAGATATCGAGTCCTGGAGGTGCTGTGAGCCTAAGGGACATAATTTAGAACATAAATCAGTTATGCTAATCCTGAGCTCTGTGGTTCAGAGAGTTTAAATTCAGGAGCAGCTTTTTACATCTAGTTGGCTGGACACCACTCCTTGTTCTGTTTTGGCCAACTGTAGCTCCACCACGCCAGCTCTTTTATCTCCCAGTACAGACTTCCACAGATTTCCATCATTCCACCCCAAACGTTACAGTAAACGGGCTCTCTTCCCTTCATCAAATCGTCTCCACCTCTCCTCTTCCTGCTCCCAAATTTAATTCCTGACGCATCTGAACCAAAACTCCCCAAAAGACCTGGGTTCAAAAGGATTGTGAGACATTGCTGTTGTGACCTTAATGAGCCACTGTGTTAGAAAAACCAGAAAGCACCAAGTGGGGAAAACCAATAAAATGTAAACCAGTGGGATTTACAAGGTGGTTCTAAAAACAAAGTCTTTATTTTCTTCTTCCTTTCCTCATCCTGTTAGCAAATTGTGTTCAAGTGAGGGGAGAGCACTTGAATCAGTCCACTGCCTGGTCCTTCCTACTATGAGCCAGGAAACCAGGCTCCTGATTATAGCTTGGCCTTGTTCACCCTGGTCACACTGGGCAGAGTGTGATCTGAGTGTGGCAGCACTGCCAAACAGGACAGCCCTACTCCTTCAGGAACTGCAGCCCAGTGCTCCCAAGGCGAAGCTCTGTGGGTTGCTCCTTTATGCTGGGACTCCAGGGCCTTCCAGCTCCTCGGCGTCTGCTTTTCTAGCTTGGCAGTGGCCCAGGCTCCTGATTTTTCACTTTCTCTTCTGGTTTCTTTTCCGGCAGTTTGGCTGATTCATTAACATCTCCATCAGAGGGTGGGCAGGAGAATAGGGAGCCTGAAACTCCGCTCAGCTCTTCTTAAAGGTCCTTCTAGTGCTGGGCTTGGTGGGAAAAGAGCAACACTGTTGGCTAAAATGAGATTTTGGGATTATCTGTGGATTTAATCTGGTCTTCTCACATCTACCATTTCCACAAATAATTAGAGATTACTAGATACAATCAGAAGTTGCTTTAGCCTTAAAGAATTTGGAGAAAATCTAAATAGGCTTAAATGCCATCTTGGAGTCCAGAATGTTAAGCTCTATGCTCCAGATAATTAACATTTTTAAGGCCTTCCCCCCCTGCCCCCAGGACCCCGTGGTTAAATCACTACTAGGTAACAATTTACTGAACACATTTTAAATGTATTTCGCAGGAAGGGTGAGCCGAGTAGAAAAGCAGTAAATGCACTACTCTTGCATGAAAGAGAGAATAGGTCAGGCAGCTTCGGCGATCTGAAACTTCTCTATCATCAGAACATATATTCTGATGCGGGAAGTTTGAGAGGATTTTTTTATTAACCTATACGGGAGACAGGCAGGTGGAGGATGATTTGTAGAGCCATGCCCTCTCTGTGGGCCCAAGTGTACCGCCCCTCCTCCTGGAGAACACCCTGGACACAGAGCAGTGGGTGATACTCAGAGGGAGCAGGGCCCTTCCTCCATGCTCAGAGGGCTCCTTCCAGAGAGCAGTAGTGGAGACAATGACATTCTTTTGATTTTTCTTTTCCCAGTGGGAGTCCTACATTAGCAGTGACATGAAAATGGCATCCTGTTATTGCAGGATGGTGGAGAATATGGTAATAATAGTATCTTGTGCTTCTGAGGGTTTGACAGTTTTCAAAGCAATTTTGTATTTGTTCTCTTATTTCTTATTTGATCTTCATAATAATTGTGAGGTAAGGATGGGTATGATCACCTCCATTTCTTTCTGATGAGGAACTTAGCCACAGTCAGAAAGCTAGTAAAGAGCAGAGTAGAATTAGAATCCAGCCTTTCTGACATGCCTTTCTGATGTACCATTAAAGTTCTGTACTAGGGGCACCTGGGTATCTCAGTCGGTTAAGTGTCTGCCTTTGGCTCAGGTCATGATTCCAGGGTCCCAGGATCAAGCCCCACATCAGGCTCCCTACTCAGCAGGGAGCCTGCTTCTCCCTCTCCCTCTGCCTGCCTCTTTGCCTGTTCGTGTTCTCTCTCTCTCTCTAATAAATAAAATCTTTTTAAAAATAAAAAATAAAGTTCTGTACTAAAACATCATAGTTTCTTATGTGACTGCATTGTCACGCCTGCTGTGTTCATTAAATATACTGTATTCAAGTATGCCCATTTTATACTGATTTAATTAAGCAAATTACACTCATGAAAAAAATATGTCATCTCTAACACTCTCTCTACTTCGGAATACCATGATTGCAACTCTGCCATTTAGTTGTATTTCCCCTCCTTAATAATCAGCAAGGTATTAATCTAGCCATGTGGGACAATTTCCTGAAGTCACTTAAATTCACTTACAAAATATCACCCAGTATTCACTTTATCCGTGGCTTTTCTTTTCCATTACTAGAATCTGAGTGCATACTAAGATATTCCCCAAAGGAATGGGTCAAGATCACACCCTACCAAAAGCAAACAAAATAAGCAAAAAACTCTGGCACAAATAAGATGTTTAGTACGTATAACAACTATAAATTTTATATCTATAGATGTTTTTAGAAAGATTGATAAATTCTCTGACATACCCACGTGGCGATAGTCCCGATTCATGTTCAAAAAAGCACTTCAGCTTTTTCCATCAACACCATTCATATTTTAGAAGACTGAATTTGCAGGGGCCTCCCCAAAGAATTTCCTTAAACCTCTGCCAACCTGCAGGGAGAAGGAGTGGAGATATTACATAAATATCTGCATCGAGTTCTTGGACAGAGTTGCACAATGGCCATATATGGTGAAAGGTAGATTTTCCCTTGTGACTATACTCTTGGAATATGTTAAATGCATATGTCTCCATTTCTGCTCTCAAGAAGCTGGTGTACAGATGTTCAGTATTGGGGTGGTAGAAACGCTGCTGTCTACAGTTTACATGATGTCTAATAGGTCTCTAGAATGTGCTTAAAAGGCAGTGTTCAGAATTAGGCCTCTAACCTTCTTTGACGTAATTGTCTTTCTCTGGAGTCAGATCTTGAAGGAAAGGATGAAGATTTGGAAAGGGAATTAATTTTCCCAACCAGACTTACTATTTTCATTCTGTACTTTACAGTAATCCTTTAAACTCAAAAAAATTCAGCTAATTATGGATTTCTACCTGAATATGTTGCCATTTGAGTGGCTGCATGTCACTGTTTCTGGTTTCTGACCCCCTGTCAGGCCAATTCTGCCTGATTTCACTCATGTGCTGCTGCTTTTTATAATCTGAACATTATTTCCACTCAGATGTTTCCAGCTTTGCAGAAAACCTAAGAATTTGGAAGGGGGGAACCTCTCATAACTATTACTTGGATAATTATCATTTGGGGTTATTCCGATTTTTTCTGCAAAAAAGATACTATGAGAAGAACATTTGAAAAAAGTGAAAGGTTTTAGTTTGAAAGCTAAATTTTCACATTTTAAAAATAGAGCTTAGGCAGTCTCTCTGGTAATTAAAATATGATTTCCCCTTTATTTTCTATGCTCAATAAACTCAACTATTACATTATATTTTGAAATGTACAACATTGAGTCTAAGGCATTAAACAAAGAAGTTAAAAGGCTTTGAGGGGATTTTTAAAGATCCAGTTTCCTAATATGTAAACTGAACCCTGGAAAGACTTTATGGTGTATAATATGTTTTTTCCCTGTCTTCTAAACACAATAATCTCTAACCGCCACTTGATCATTAGAGATTTATATTCACTATAATTTATGTCAACTTATATCTGGGATTCCTTTTTTTTTCTACAACGTTTGGCAGCAAACTGCTGGTAGAAACTAGAATGTTTCACATTAGCAGCCCTCTTAAATTATTTCTGTGAAATAATTTACTGTGGATTACAAATTCTTATATGGCATTTCAAGTTAATGATTAGGCAGAGAGATATATCAAAAATATGATTAGTCACATATGTACCTGACTTGCATGGCTTTAACTCTATGTGTGTTTCACAAGAATTGTTTTTTCAAAAAGGTATTTCAGGGCTTACATATTTTTCCAGCAAAAGCCAAGAGATTTTCGAAGGAAAAGAAAAAGATATATACATGCTCTTATAAACTATCTCCTCTAATTCAACGTCTATAAAATTATTTTCTATTTCATGATGGCCACTGACGGCATAGGTACTGCTGTGTGGTCCAAAACTACAAGAACTCACAGTGGTGAAGACCTCTTGCAGAGTGACTTGAAGTCAAGATGTAAAAATCCTAAGAAAACATGAGATTTTTAATGAAAATTTAATGTCTCTCTTTCACTGCAAGGAATTAGTCATGAAATGGTGTACCCCCAACAGAAGACGAAATGAAATGAAACCAGGAGCTCCTCATTCAAATCTCAGAATGAGCTACTTCCTAACTCATTTTCATTTTTCTACATAGTTAGAGTTAAAGCTTTAAGAGATTTATTTGTTCAATTTCAGGAAAGTAAGACTTAGAAGGGTGGCTATGAAAGTTGGGTTCCAATTTTATTTACATGGAAGCAGCTCCCAGAACACCTCTTTTGTATCTCAGACAGCTATTTCTATTTCTCTTCCCTTCCTCTCTTTTCCTCTTTAACAGTGGTTCTCTTAACTCAACTATTTATGATTTATTTCATGAAAGGCTAGGTTATTTCTGAGGGTACTATAATGTCTTACAGTGGTTTTAGAGACTAGCAGCAACAAGGAACTACTTTCTTTGGTGCCGTAAAATAAAGCCATGGTTAGTAGCCTACAACCTGCAATAAACTATTAAAAAAGGAATTTATGATGGCTGGTTATTATCCTCCTGAAATAATGTTGTTACAAGTCTGCCCTTGTCAGTCATCCGCAGGATCACGTGCTGGATCTCAAACAAAGGGAGGGTCTGGATCCACACAGAGGCTCATGGCAAATTACCCAGGGATGGGATGGCGTGGCCTAAATAGTCCCTTATGCCCTTCGTCACCTTTTCAAAGCAAGAGAATAATAGCCATATGTGTATTTTATCCTGATTGCACTAAAAGGCACCTGTTTGTGAGGCTGAGTTTGAATTTCGATTTAGAAAAATATTTGCATGGCCGGTAACAACAAATTATGTGGGAGTGCCTTGGGGACAGGCAAGGCTTTTAGAAAGACAACTGGAAGTATCCTGCACACTGAAACCTGCACGTCAACTCTTTTCCTTCTTTTTAACATTAATTTAAGTCCTGAGAAGAACTGCTTCTTCCTTTCCTTGCTCTGTAAGCACTTTCCTTCGCTAAAGCTGGGTCTATCTGGCAAGCTCCTTGTGAGTCCTCTTTGGCATCAGCAAGGAAGAGAGGAAGACAGAGCATCCTATCATGCCACTGAATGTGTTTGGGGGTGGGGGCAGGAACAGGATGATTCACCAGAGGCTGGATCAGGCTAAGGCTCAGGAACCACAACAGGTCGGCTGATGTTGTAAAATCACCATAGATAAGAGGATCTACCTCAGAGAGTTACAGAGAATTAAGAATAATGAGATCGTGTGTGGCTGGGGAAGGATGGGAGATGGTCCAGGAGGTGGATGGGAAGGAGGAAAGGTGACAAGGAGGAGGATTAAAAGAGGAGCCAAAGGTCTGGAAATGGTTTGATTGATTTCCAAAGCTGAAGATATAAAATTCCAGGTTCTAAACCCTTACAATATAAATCATCATTTCCTGAAGAAAGTAATAGAATTTCACTGGCAAAGTCATGGGTTTCCTTATTTAAAAAAAAATTTTTATGTTGTGCCTGCAAATGTGAAAAAAAAAAAAAAGCGCTCTCCTAGAGTTGGATGAATGTTGCTTAATATTAAATGCTAAAGCACAGAAAATTGATTTTAAAATGAGAATAAAAATGAAAAACCAAGAACCATCACTTCTTAGACCTTCATTTAAATAAGCATACTCTAACATACTATGCTGTTTATTACTTGTTTCAGAAAGTTATCAGAAGCATCTGTTCAGTATGTTTCGAAAGCCAACTTGCTTAGTTCTGTGAAGCAATGTCTGGGTTGGTGCCTATGGAAAACAGAATAGCACACACACGATTTTAATCCTGTTATTTTGAAAACTTGGAAAAGCTTTGGTATCATCTGAAATGGCTGATTTTTCTTATTTTGTGTAAGTACACAAAAGTACACACATAAGACGAACATTAACAATTTTTTAGGAAAAAATTATGTAGCTTTAGAAAATTGAAAATCAAAATCTAGAATCGAAATCATCACTTAATATAAAGCTCTGGTTTGTAATTGTCTCAATATAAGTGACATCATTTCACCATTCCCTCATGGGATTATAACTCATCTCCAAAGGAAAACCTAAATTCCATGAAAATAGTGTTATAAAATTTTTGAAATTAAAGACCTAATAGAAATTAATATAATAAAACAATACATGTCATCTGCCAAAGTAATGCTAATTTATATACTAGCAACCTATTCAGCTTTTTTATACAGAATTTCAGGGCAGTCACTATCCACTAATATTTATGGAATGATGGCCTGTGTAGCAGTCCCTTGCCCTTCACTTAATCACCCAATAAATCCAAAGCTGGAATATTTTCAACAACATTCATCAGGGATCACTTTTAAGTGACTGAAACTATCAATGATAGCCTTTTAAAAGACCATCTACTTTTGGTCAAAATGTTACTATAGAAATCATCCCCCTTAAAAGTGCTATGCAGTAATTACATCTGCAATCATTGCTGTCAAAATAAAGTGCCTTGAAGACATAGGAAGAGAATTTCTTAATTAAATGTAGAAGAAAAGCACAGAAGGTGATGTTCGTTTTGTAACATGCTCTTATTCCATGACTATCTGTAAAGAGCCAGAGCAAAAGAGATTCTAATAAGTGGCCGTCTGGTCAAAAGATGGAAACTGATGTTTAGCCATTGAAAACTTATAAGAACTTGTCACTGTATTGGAAAAATAAAATCCAATAGAAAATACAGTTTTCTAAAATGTTTTTCTAATTATCACCTTGGCTCTCTGCGGCTCTGCAAATACAAATAAATAGAAAGCTAAGTTCTTCATTTCTTCCCAAGTCCCAGCTTAGCTACAAAACTCCTAAATGAAAACACAGTTTTCTGGTGTTGTCGAAGTCAGGAGTGGTAAAGACCAGAGACGTAAGAATTCCAGGAAAGGCTGTGGAGGGGCGCAGAGGACTGTGGGAGCAATTAGGGGGTGTGCTGGAGAGTGCTCCTTTGTTTCAGACTGTTTACTCCTCATGTTGATCCACTTGCCACACTCTTTGCTATTTCAGAAAAGTGGAGTGGGTGATGTTGGTTCAATACCACAAGAAATACTGAACTTGCTATCACCAGCGTCACCATTGCTCCCTGGTAGCAAGAAAAGTTGAAGTGAGCAGTTGTTGAATCGTAAGATGTTAGAGCTGGAGGGGACATTCACGGAATCTCTTTGGGTACAGTTTCCAGCAACATAGGGGCTAAACTGGAAATAGAGTAACTCTTGACTCTCAATCCACAGTTGTTTAATAAGAAAATATCACAAATTGGTTTAGCCAAGGGGTTATAGATTTTAACGTATTTTTTTAAGATTTACACCTAAATAGTTCATGGTTTTCCAAATCATGAACTAGAGTCCAGCTCCCTAGAGTCTCAAATTAAACATGGAGCACTTGTGTCCCATCTGAGCCACAGAGACCAGTGTTGTCCAAAAGAAATACAATGTGAGCCACACACACCATTCAAAATTTTCTGGTAGCCACATTGCTTTTTTTTTTTTTTTTAAGATTTTATTTATTTATTTGACAGAGAGAAACACAGCGAGAGCAGAAACACAAGCAGGGGGAGCGGGAGAGGGAGCAGCAGGCTTCCCGCTGAGCAGGGAGCCCGATGGCGATGCCTGGGCTCCATCCCAGGACCCTAGGATCATGACCTGAGCCGAACGCAGACGCTTAATGACTGAGCCACCCAGGCGCCCTGCACATCGCTTTTTTTAAAGGGGGGGGGGGAGAGCGCGCGCAATAGTGGTGGGGGCGGGCAAGAGGGAGAAAGAGAGAGAGAATCCTAAACAGGCTCCATGCCCAGCGTAGTAGAGCCTGACGTGGGGCTCAATCTCACAACCCTGAGATCATGACCTGAGCTGAAATCAAGAGTCAGACGCTCAACAGACTAAGTCACCCAGGCAGCGACATTGTAAAATGTAAAAACTGAAATTAATTTTCATAATTGTGTATTGGTTATTTATTGCTGTGTAACAAATTACTCCAAAACTTAGCTTGAAACACACATTTATTATCTTATAGTTGCTCTGCATGAGTGATTTAGCTGGATCATTTCTGGCTCAGGGTTTCTCCTCAGTTGGCAGTCAAGCTATTGGCTGGGCTACACTGACTGGGGCCAGAGGGTCTGCTTCCAAATAGTTGTTACTTACATGGCTGGCACTTGGCTGACGTGCCTCAGTTCTCCTCCACATGACTTCTCATCCTCCAGGCCCTCTCATCTCCATTTGGCATCTTCAGCATGTCCTTTACTGGTGACAGGGCTCTGAAATAGAGGAGAGGGAGGAAACTAATGTAGGGGAGAAGGAGCACCCAAGAGAGAAAGTTGCATTTTGTACATTTTGTAATCTCATCTTGGAAGTTATGTTCTATCACTCCTACCATATTTTGTTTGTTAGACTTGACCCATTAAGTCCAGCCTACATTCTTGGGGAGGGAATTACACATATAGGTTATTGGGAGTCATCTTAAAAGTAGTCTACCACAAACCAATTTTAATTACCCCAATACACCTAAGTATTATTTATAGTATTGTTACATAATCAATATAAAAATTTTAATGATACCTTACATTCTTTTTTTCATACTAAGTCTTCAAAATCTAGTATGTATTTTATACTTACACTACATCTCAATTGGATGAGCCATATCCCAAGCACCAGTAACCACATGTGGCTCACAGTTATGATAGCACAGGATGTATCTAGATGCTCTGCAGCCACCTAAAGACTCACAGACCCTAACTAAGGAGAGCTTTTTCACCAGGAACTGAAAAACTGAAGTGATTTATCAGATCTGTACCAAGTGTTTACCATGTTCCAGGCATGGTGCTAAATATGGGGAACCCCAAATCAGTAAATCATCATGCCTGCCCTAAAGGAACTCAGCCAGACAGAGAAGTTAAATTCTAAATAGAATCAACCATTCTGGGCCCACTCAAGGAACTCTAACCTGTGATGGGTCCTAGAATGAAGCAGCACTCAGTCTCTCCCCATTCCTTGGGAAGGAAGATAACCCAGAGTCTTTCTGGCTCAGCCAAAACCTCTGACAATGACCGTATGCATCATTCATCCCCGGGCCCAACCTGAGGCTATGTCTCCAGCACTAAGCTGGAGCCCATATGTTGGCCTGAAATCTGATTTCCCTTGGACATGGAGCAAATTAAATATTTGTTTAACTCAGAACATTGTACTTTCCACTATTCTCCATAAGCAAGACCTGTAGGGGAAGGGAGATATAGGGGGTACCTTAACTATTTCAGGTTTCTTGGGTGCTTTGGAGGTACACTTCATACTTACACCAAGCTTCATCTATATGCGACTAAAGTTATATGGAAAAAATGTCCCTAATGATCTTACCAGCTATGAATGGATTTAGCAATGGGGAGCATTATTTTTAGTCTATTCTCTGCCCTAACTCTGATAATGCAAATTTCTTTGCTTTTGCAGAATGTACTTATGTATTTGACTTGAATCTTTTCTCACAGTTTATGTCCTGAAGTATATTTGTGTAGTTATAAGCATAACTCTGTGCAGCCAGGACCTACCAGAGGAGCTTCCCATCTCCCAAAATAGCACTTACATGCTATTTATTAATAGTGATATACCTGGCAGTCCAGTTAAAGAATTCTGGGTTTCATTTGGGGGAACTGTAATACACTTTCCATTAGTGGGGGGTGGGGGTGGGGGGAAGCAGTTTTCTGAGTGGTTTTCCTAACCAGGGAAAATAGTAGTCATTTATTTTCAAGTTAGAGGAAAACCCATGCCTGTCTCAATGGGAAGAAATCAGTTTCATTTAGATGGTGTCTGGAAAAATGGTCTTGAAAACATTGTTTCCTTATTTCTTGTCTTCATAAAAATATTTAGAGAAAAAAACTGTGTGAAGACAGTTTCAAGTAAAGGACTACACATAAAACATGTCTTTCTTACACATAAAACTCATTTCCAAGTTTTTATCATATATATATGTATATATGCACTGTTTCATCAAGTTTATAGTAGCTGTATCTTTAAAAATAGAATGTCTTTGTTCAACAATGTGGACACACACACACACACACACACACACACACACACACACACACACCTGATGACACATCTCATTTCTGTGCCGAATATGTCATGATTTTAGTTGAGCTGCCACAGGCTAAAGCTCAACCATTCAACCTGGAAAAACATTCAGGTGGTCTGGAACATAGAAAAACCCCTAAAACTGTTCAGCTAGAATTTGAAGGGTGAGAGTAAAGCTTCTGTTCTGTGTAAATCTGTCCAAATTTAGTGTTTTACAGTATCAGGCACTACTCTAGGAGCCAAGAACTGACTTGGCCTAAAGGCCCCTGCAAGAAGACAAACCCCCACACCCTGAAGTCAGCTTACATTAGAGAAATAAATGAATTTTAAACATTCCACTGTAAATACAATGTAAGCACATCATTTTTTCACATGTAGAGTAGCTTCATCTAAAAGCACAGTTTGCTCCTGTTTGGGAGATTCTAAATAAAATAGCATTTTAACTGGCCTTTGGGAAGGCCAGCATGCTCTAGCACAGCATATGTGATGGGATCCACGACAATTTTTGCGGAGTTTTAGAATGCAAATTTAAGCCCACAGTATACACTCCAGCAAATATATATGCATCTATCTATGCACAGACTGGTAGATACAGCACACAAGCATATGATGTGCAGAGGACAGTAACAAAAATATCTTTTTAAAAAAATTATAGCTTTGGTTGAGATTTATTCTAACATATCCCACAAAAGAAACGTTTCATCGCTGTAGTAGTGG